TCCCTGAGTAGTCGTCTGGACCTCCTGGTCACTCCCCAGGGTTAGCTGGCTGTTCCCCAAAACCTTTACTTACATGCACCCTGCTCTGGAATTTGGACAAAGTCATACCCTTAAGGCTCTTCAGCAAGCTACGCTCCCCGCCTCCCTGCGTTCAACACCAACGTTTGCGTCCCACGATGTCATGTTATACACGGCACACTTTTGTAGGATGTGACGACGGGCTTTAAAGGTTTTCATTCCTGTCCTGCACGAGGACTTTTATTGTAAATGAGTTTTAAGGCTTGTCTTGGACTTTTGTCACTGTGACGCGTACCTCAGAGGTACTGAGGGGAGGAAGGGTTTATTTTGGCTCTTGGTTTCGGTGACCAGGAGGTTGGGGGGCAGTGAGGGAGAATGTGAATATGACATGCTGCTGTTTTTTCTTTTCCCACTATTACTCCACAACTTGCTTCTCTTTCTTCTGGATCATTAAGAAATCTGGTTAGTTGGTACTCAGAATTCACCACCACAGTCTGTTCCCACGGCATAGAAGGACTGTCACCTTTGTTTTTGAGACAGGGTCTCCCTGTAGCCCCAACTGGCTTGGAACTCACTGTGTAGACCAGGCTGGCCTCGAACTCACAGAGCTCCGCCTGCCTCTGCCTCCCGAGTGCTGGGATTAAAGGCCTGCGCCACCATACCCAGCTACCTACATGCTTTTTCAAATGTAAAGAGGCAGGCGGATCTCTGTGAGTTCAAGGCCAGCCTGGTCTATACAGGGAGTTCCAGGACAGCTGGGGCTACAGGGAGACCCTGTCTCAAAAAAGACAAAAAAAAAAAAGCATGTAGGCACGTTATGTATATTTCCTCGCTGGGAGTAGAGCCATGTCAGTGAGAGGCCTCCTCTGTTGATGGCCAGGGTACATGGTGGCCTCAGCTCTGCCCGGAACCTGAGGATACATACCTCTATTTGTGTGGGTCCTGTCATGGTGATGGATGGGAGGCCAGGGGAGTGGCAGAGAGGAGAGATGGAGCCTGCTTTGTAGAGGCCGAGCCATACCATGCTGCCCCCATGGAACCCTGACTGTTCACAAACCACAGGGTAGGGGACAGAAACCAGAGGTCTGGCAGATCTGCCTTGGGGAATCTCAGAACCAGGACATAAGTTCCTTCAGGCCTCTAGCTCCCACTCAGGGACTTCCCCAGCCCCAGAGCTCAGGCCCCAGCTTGTGGTGGAGGCTGCTGTCGGGGTGGCCCCCATCCATGCCAAGTCATTGTGCCCTGAAAATGTCAGCTGTCCCCAGACGAGAAGGGGATCCCAGCCAGTGTGGGCACGCAAGGCCTGTCCCCAGCTGGGCCTCCTGTTTGTAGCTGATTCCTGCTGGCACTTGGACCTGGAACTGCGGGGAGATGCTTGGCTTAATTAAAGGGGCATCTTTGTCTCCTCTAGAGATGAGTGGGCTTGACCTATGGCTTTTTGAAGGTGCTGGCTGCCGCCTCCTGCCTTTGATCTGCCTTGCACTAGCTTTGTGGCCTTTTGACTCTTCCAGTTGAGTGACTTGTGCTTCCCTCCGCAGGGCATTCTGGGGCCTCCCTCCCCTGGGGCCTCCCCTGCTGTCTCCCAGGACAGAGTAGGTGGTGAAGGGAGGCACGCTCACTCCCTTCTGCTGCTTGTCATTCTTGGGCTCCTCCGGTGTTAGGGTAATGTAAGGTGATTAGCAAAACAATCTTACCCTTTCTCCCTCATTAAGCGAGACAGTTTTAATTTTGACCTTGTGCACAGGAATCCTCTCAAAATGAGAGATTTGATAAGGGGTTGTGTGTACAGAGCTTGTGGCCCATCCTGAGCTTCCTAAGGGTTGTGTGTATGTCTGGGGTAGGAGTGTTTGGCCAACAGAGGCACCTTTACACAGACGGTGGCCAAAGTTGTCCTCTCCTCTGGAACATTTCCTTTCTAAGTATGAGTTCTTTTGCAAAAGGGAGGCTGTCGTTGCTGTTGTGTGACTGTTCATCCGATAGGGCGCCAGTAACAGGTCTGAGAAGCAGTTCCACCCAGTGAGTTTATTGGGGTTACTTACAGAAGTGTGGGGGAGGCGTGACTTACTGGAACACTGGTGAGTCAAGGGCAGTTGCTTAACTGGGAGACCTACCTACTCACTCACAAAAGGTGCAACCTGGGAGCTCTCTGACCAACTTACAGACAGCTCAGTCTCAGAGTCGTTCCCCCCCCCACCCCGTTACTGTTTTTTTATTTTATTTATTTAATCTTTTACATTTATTTGTTTATTGTGGGTATATGTGTGCGCATACGCCTGTGCCACAGCGTGTGTGGCGGTCAAAAGGCAACTTGCATGAGCTGGTTCCCTTTCCGGCATGTGAGTCCTCCGGCTTGAACTCAGATCTCAGGCTTGGTGTCAAGCCCCTTTACCTGCTGACCCATTCTGCTCCCCATGCCGGATAACCTCAGGGAGGGGCCTTACAAATATTGTAAGTTTCAGAAGCTTCCTGAGACGAAGATTGTGCTCACTTCCTGGGCCTCCTTCCTGTTCTTCACCTCCGGAGTTGTGGCGCCTGCCTCTGCTCTCTGGGAAAGGCTGTTTCAGCTTGTTGAAGGAGGTGGAGAGCTTTTCCTACCTTGCCTGGTTCCATTTCTTTTAGCTCAAAATAATCAAAAAACATGCTTTGGACTATGTGTTCTGAGCTCCTTTGTGTCTCCTGCAGTCCCCTGGTCCAGAATACACACGGCACTTCCCTCTGGCTAGCACCTTTCACCTATGGAGGCCATCTCTGTCCCTGACATGTGTGTTTCAGCTGGACACTGGAACATACTCCTGGGTCACTTCCTGGGCCACAGGCCCTGCTGGAGGGAGTGACCCCCTGCCCAATGCCTGCTGAGCTTCCTGACAACACACCATGTACCTGTACCCCCTCAGCCTCACCCCATCAACAGAGAAGCTCTCTAGAAGCCCACCCCACTCTATTACACCCCCCCCATGGGTCTTGGGTACCCAGAGTTAGCAGAGATGCCAAGCATTCCCCATGGACTGGTGAGGTTTTCATGGAAAAAAGTAATAAAAGGTCTCAAGGCCAGATAAACAAGGGGTACCAGGGCAGCTCTGTCTCATGAGGATATAAAAGGCTTTGGTGAGGCCAGCCTCAAGGAACTGGGCGGAACTCCCTTTGCTGGACTTCCATACCCTACACTCACCTGCACCCTGGTTCCCAGGTCTGGCCCTCTCCTACACTATTTCTTTTATTTCTTCTCTTATTTTATTAAACATTTATTATTTTTTTATATGTATGAGTGTTTTGCATTCTAAGTGCACCCAAGTCATGCAGTGCCCGTGGAGGTCAGAAGAGGGCATTGGAGCCCCTGGAACTGGAGTTAAGGATGGTTGTTAGCTGCCATGTGGGTGCTGGGAACTGGACTCAGGTCCTCTGCAAGATCAGCCAGTGCTCTTAACCCCTGAGGCATCGCTCCAGCCCCACCCACACTGTTTCTGAGGCACTCTGTCCCCAGTCACTGTTCACTGGCACACTTGGTTCACCGAAGAGGTGTTGAGCTGTGTGGACAGTATTCCCATGGCCCTGGGGGAAATCACAGGAGGCGACAGCCCCTTCTCTCCTGGCACATCAAACTGCAAGGGCCGCACACCAAGCAGAGCAGACATGGCTACTTTGGGTGGTGGACTGAGATAGGGCGCTAGGAGGAGAGTGTTAGGAATGTCGGTGGGTAGGAGTGTTGTTAGGTGGGTTGGCCTCTTCTTCTGGGAAGGCACTGTCACCAGCTGACCGTGTGCTAGTCTGGAGGAGCCAGTGCTAGGGCCCATGTTGGGAAGGGGTCTGTCTTTGAGAAGTGGGTACCACTGGGGGTTGAAGCCTAGAGGAAATGAGTCCATGCTTGACCACAGGCTCTGGCTGCTTGGTGGACTACAGACTGTGTGTGGGCTGGGCTGAAGCAGGAGGAAGACATCAGGCAGACATAGGGGTGGCTAGGTTCACAGTGAACTCTAAAGCCCTGTTTACCTGGAGAGGAAGACGGATGCTGCAGGGCTGGAGTTAGGGGAGAGAAGGGGTCAACGTGAACCCAGAGGGAGGAAACCATGTGAGCCGGCATCCCAGACGGGACCGGAGAGAGTGTGCCAGCTGTGCCAGCTACCACAGACTGGGGGAAAGGGGAGGCTGGGAGTGTCCTCTGGATCTGACTGCACAGGGGCCATTGCCACCCACAGTGCGTGTGGTCTTGGTTAGTGAGGGATACTGTTGAGGTCTTCCAGATTGTTCCCCCTGCGTTGTGTGACTGGAGAGGTGTGGCAGGGTTGGAGCTGGCGAGGTGTCTGGTCACAAAGAGGGGGAGGGCTGATCCTTAGGGAGGCAGCTGTTAATGACTTACAGGCTGTGGTGGTGGCATGTCCCTTGGTCCCCACAGCTTTTTAGTAGTGCCTCTCAGAGCAACATCTCCATACAGACCCATGTGGGTGGGTGACCATGATGGGTCTGAGCTCCTTAGGACTTTTACTAAACTTCACTGGGTTCCAGTGGGTGACAGGCGCTGAAGATCCATGGGTACTGCACGGCCTCCTAGACTTCTCTCGGGGTGTGTATGTATGTATGTGTAGGTGTGTGTCTGTCTGGTACTGGCCATCTGCCTACCCTGTGTTGCACCACAGAGTGTCCTGGGAGGCCCAAGTCCTTTCCCTATACCCTTCAGAGTGTGACTGCTGAATAGCTGATGGCAGTGTGGTGACACAGGACAAAGGGCCCCTGGACCAGGTCCCTCATTTGCCTATGGCATGCCAAGGCCTGGGGACCCAGTCAGGTTGACTTGCCCGTTTCCCAGGGGCTGCTCCCTTCAGTTCCTCCCCAACCTGGAGGGCTGAGTCTGTAACATAGAGTGTTGAGATTGGCTACTGAGCTCAGCTGCTTCTGTGGAGCCAAGTAGGCCTGGGAGTGAACTGCACGCAGTCCCCTGGGGTGGCAGGGCCTGGAGACCTGTCCTCACTCCTGCCTTCTCTCTACAGGCCTTTCCCCTCGGAGGAGACAGCGGAGAGCGACGATGACGTTTACCGGAGCCTGGAGGAGCTGGCTGAGTAAGAAGGGGGAGCGGGATGGGGAGGGCGTGGGGAGGCTGGTCCCAGCCTCAGCAGTTCAGAAAGCTGCTGGCCAGGCAAAGCTAGCCCTGCCTGGCCTCTCCCTGGAGACTCCACACCGGGAACTGGGGTTTCTGCCTGGCTGAGTGACACAGGCAGTCAACTTGCATCCTTTGCCTTTTAGAAGGCTGCCCAGCCGGGTTGCCCTGGTGTCTGCTGGTCATGGTCAGTGGCCCTTCTACTGGGGCTTTTGCTTCTGTGAGTGGCACTGGGCAGGCAGCCCAGGTAAGGTAGTCTTACATTCCTTCTTCCTGGCTCTGGGTGGCGTACAGGGCAGGCTCTAAGAAGTGGGGCTTGTGGCTCATATTGTCTTGTGGTGTGCCATGCAGGATGGGGCTGGTTAGGAGAGAGCTGATTCCCCATCCCTCGGTGGCCCCTTGTGGCTTTATCCCCCTGAGGATTCCTTTTCTCCACCACACAGAGGCCGGGCCAGGCTGGGCCATTCCTCCTCAGGGATAGCAGGGCCTTTGGGCTGGCTCTGCAGCCTGCAGCAGTCAGATGAGTGGGGTTGTATGGTCCGTGTGGGATCACTCAGCCTTCTGCTAGGGGAGCGAGGTAGGGTAACATGACCCATGCAGTGGGATGGACTGACCAGGTGCCCCATCCTGGCCTGGAGGGACTCAGACTGGGAGGAGCTGGGCCTGCCTGGACTGGTTTGCCATTGGCAGCCCCTGACCTGCATATCTGCTGCCCTCCCATGCCTGGAACTCCTGGTGGACTGCTGTCCTCTCCCCAATGTGTCAACACATTGCTGTACTCTGAGGAGAGCACATTCCTTCTGGGGAGATTGGCCATCTCTCTCCCACTGTCTCCACGCACAAGGAAGAGAAAGGCTTGCTTCAGTCACTCTCACATCCGGATTCCTCCAGAGATGGGGCACAGTGTGCTTGCACGGTCTCTGTTAGGCCCGTCCAGCCTTTTGCTGTTGATAAGACATCATCTACAAAGTTCATGGTTTAGGACCTGCACTGTCTAGTTACCAAAAAGAGAAGCATTCCCTAAGGTTTGGAGCAAATTTACAGTTTTGTGTCGGGCGACCATTCAAGCTTCCGGGGCTGTATGCAGCCATAGACGTCTAGTTGGGCAGGCCTGGGACTTATCCACAGTTCAGCTTCCCTGCCCTAGGCTGGCAACCCTGTCTCATGCAGCTCTGTGAGAGAGGGAGATTCCTCACCTGTATGCAGAGCAGCTTCCAAAATGGGGCCACCAGGGACGCTGGGGTCAAACCCACGGGTGGGAAATCCCAGAGTGCCTTGAGACGTTTGATTGACCTCTCATGGGTCACAGAACTAGAGAGCATCATGAGAGGGAAGGGGACCCTGAAGATCACACCAGAGCTTTTGAGTGTCCTGCCTGCCAGGTACTGTGACTCTGATCCATCTCCAGAGTTGCAGAGGGAATTAGAAAACTCAAGAAAAGGTGCATAGTAGCACCTGGGGCCTCCTGAGGTGCAGGTAGAGCTCCCTGAGGGTACAGAGGCTGTCGGGAGCGATTCAGGCCGGTGTTACAGCAGGAGGGAGGTCCCCCAGGGTAGGATGCCTCTGCCTTGGTGATACACTGGTACATGTGGAGCTCAAGGCTGTCCTTAGGTGCTCCCACTCTGGGAAGCCTCGTGTGTCCTGCCCACGGCACCTACAACCCCATCTGGCCTCCAAGGGGCACAGTAATGAGGCTGTTAATGTCTCCAGTACACTAGAAGGGTCCTGGGGCCAGGCCCCACGTTCTTTGGGCACCCTCCAGCGCCTAGCACGTGCCTGGGGCATGTGGAGTGGCGTCCACAATACTAAGGACCATAGCGATGGACGGTGGTCTCCCGCTTTTCTTGGGAGAGCCGCACATGACGCCTCTGCCCGCTTCAGCCCCCATGGAGGCTCTGTGAGGCCGGCCTTTCTGTTACCTTCATTTTACAGATAGGGAAATGAGGCCAGAGAGGAGGACTGGTCCATGCTGCTCAGCTAGTAATAGGCAAGCTACAGTTTGACCCCAAGTCTGTGTCCTAACCTTGCCTTCATGCAGGGTGATGCCCTGGAGCCTGGGGAGTGCCTGGCCAGTGCTGAGGGCAGATCTCCTTTGAAGCCTGCCGCCTGCACCTTCTAGAAATGTCCCCCAGGTCAGCACAGACTGGGGTTCAGAAGGACAGGGGCCCCATAGGCCTTCTGTATCTGGGACCAGGTATGAAAATATCCTGGGTGTTAAACCAGACATGCTCTCCCTCTCTGAACTGCTGCCCTAGGGTGGCCCGCGTACCAGGGTTTACGGGCTACATTCAAACTCGAGAACTCCTACGTGGTGAGTCTTGCCTGGAACTGGTATGCCCACCTCCCCCTTTCTCTGCTCTTTCTCCATGTGACTGGTCTTGTCCTCTACAAGAAGATGGAGTTGCTCTTCTAGAAAAGCGACTCAGGGCACGAGACCTGTCTAGCCCTACGCTGCTCCTCTGTGACATTCACCTCCAGCCTCCTTAATTCTTAGTGCTGCTGTTACTGCAAAATACAAGCTGTGAATTATAGGAAAGGGAAGTGAGTTTGAATCTTTAACTTGTGGTTTGGTCCCGTGGCTGGAGTTTAATAAGTTTTCTATCTTCTCTGCTTCTCCTTTCACTGGGAAGCAGTATTCCCTAGCTGCCCTCTTAGTGGAGCTGGTAGCGATGTTTACCTTTGACACAGACAGACATACCACTTCTCAGACTGCCTGGGGCCATCCCACAGTTAGGCAGCTGTGTGGAGGGTCAGGGGACCATTGCAAAGTGTAGGGGACCTTATCCGAACAGATGTCACCTTGCATGTCTATAGGACCCCTCCAGACTGAGATGCTGCGGTGTGGTGGTGGGGCTGTCCGGTACCAGTTTCCCTATATGACGTGGCTGTCTGCATGTGGTTTAGAGGTCGAAGGACCATCCTATGCAGTGAATCCGCCGTACACTTGCCAGTTGCCTTGTTGCTGAGCACTGTCTGTCCAGCCAAGGTCAGGCCATTGATGTGAAAGTGAGGGAGACCCAGTCATGCCTCCTGAGTCCCCATGCTCTGTGCAGGAGTCAGGAGCACAAGGACAGTTTCAGGGTTGGGTGGTAGAGTGACAGGGAGCAAACACAGGTTACCTCCGCATCCCTGACTGGAGATGTGAGTCTCCATGTGGGACCTGCTCCATACCCACCGAAGAGCGGCTTCTTCTGTGGGGGCTGCACAGAGCCTTGCACCCCGCAGCACCCAGGCTGGGCAGTGCGGTTCTAGCCTTGACACGAGTAGCCTTCCCACCGGGGTCATCCCTGATTATCTGTTTCAACCACTCATTCCTGGAGCAGGGGAATCACTGCCTTAGACCTCAGACTGAGCGCCAGCTCCGCCATGTTCTGCTTGTGTGGGTCTGCTTGGCTGCTCACCTTGTTTCACTGAGTCTCAGCTTCTTTATAAAGAAACACATGACGTGACAATTATTAGCTGTCATGGCGGGGGTGGGTGCTGGGATTCGAACCCGGGTCTTCTGCAAGAACAGCCAGTGTTCTTAACCACTGAGCCATCTCTCCAGCCCCAACTGCTAGTTTTTCAGTAGTCACATCAAAAATGTAAAGAGAAACAGATGATGTTAATTTTAATATTTTATGGGCTGGGTGTGGTGGTGCACATCTTTAGGTCCGGCACTAGGGAGGCAGGGGCAGGCGGATCTCTGTGAGTTCAAGGCCAGCCTCCTCTACACAGCGAATTCCAGGCTACAGGGAGACCCTGTCTCAAAAAGACCAAAAAAGAATGTATTTTATTTGAATTGCTGGGCCCTCAGTGATCAGTATCAGCCATAGATGGTCATCGATGTGAAGACTGCATTCTTTCTGTGTCAGTCAGTCTCCTGGCTGGGGATGTAGTTTGTGATTGGGCCAGGTGCATGTGGTGCTGTGCTGTATACTGGACAGCTTATGCATGGCGCTAGGCCTCAGTGCTGGGCAGTGAGGGATTTGGCTCCTCGGGGCTGGAGAGGCGCCCCGCCCATGAGCTACACTGAAAGAAGTTATCGTCTAAGCTCCCTCTTCAGGCTGCCAAGTAATTTACAACCAAATAGTAAGAGCAGGTGGTTGAAAGGAACACAAAATACTGCCACTTCAAAATGGCGTTACTAAGCAAAATAAGCTCCCCACCCCCCAAATCCTGCACCTGCCTTTGCATAACGGCTTGTCTCTGACAGCATCTGGCCCTGCCTCTCAGGTCTGCCCTGGACTCTTGTCAGCAGTGTTTGCGGGACTCATGTCCCACGCAGGAGGTCAACAGCATTGGACAGTGTGTACCACAGGCTCCAGGCCGGGACCCTGAGGTGGCGGTAAAGGTCTGACCTTGTCCTGCTGTCTGCCTCTTGCCTATCAGGGGCCCCTGTGCCCAGGTGACACAGCTGGACTGTGCCCAGCACTCAGGCTAGTGTAGGGTAAAGCAAGGGCGTGTCCTGCATCTGCTGGAGCTGGACTTGGGCTGTGTGGCCCTGCTGGTGGTGCTATATGTCTCTCCGGGTTGTTCAGCCCCTCCCAGGGCCACAGTTTTTCCACCTCCACACTGAAGTCTGTACACATGTCTCTGTGAGATCTCAGAGTCCACAGTCTGTCACCAAAGAGCCTGCTCTGCCCTCTCTGACTTCACTGTCCTCTAAGATGAATTAGCTCTCAGGCTTAAACAATTGTGCTTGTGCCAAGTCAGGGACTATAATTTATCTCTGAATGTGTAGCCGCATGCTTTATTGCCTCATAAAAGGAGTTTGCAGCTTTTAGTGCATGGTGTTAACATTGCTGGGTAATTTTTAAGGTATATAATGAAGGAGATCTGGAGCCCTCCTGTGCCCTGCGGGGAGAGTTGTGGTACACAGGTGGAGGCAGGGATGGTTTGCTGGCAGTGTCCTGGGAGAGGGACCATGCTTCTCTGGCCTGCCCTGGAAAGCTCCAGGCCCTGGCCACTCTGTGCAGTGCC